TGTCCAGAGCCTTCCTTGAGTTCAAATTCCCTCTAACACAAAGCCCTCCCCTGCCGTGTCCTGGTTTCTGATTCCAGCTGCCCCCAGGCTGGGTGGCTCTCCCCTGGGTGTGGCTGATGGCCAGGCTCTGTGAGGTTGGGGAGGTGGGAAGGGGCCCCAGGCTGTGAGGCCTGCAGAGCCCTCTGTGAGGGTGGGAGTCCTGCAGGCTCTGCATCCATCCATCCAAATACACATGGAGCTCATATGCACCCGCACACTGGGCATCAGCCCAGAATGAGAGATGACAGTCCCTCCCCTAGCAGAGCTCACAGGGAACAACTGGCTCAAGAGGGAGCATCCACTTTCCCTCCCACACTGGGTCAGGGAAGGCCTAGACCTGAAGATTGAGGGGCCAGACCTGTTGAGATCTTGGGGAAAATGCTGGGCAGAGGGAATGGCATGTGCAAAGGCTCTGGGATGGGAGAATGTGGGGTGTCCAAGAAATGAAGGGGCACAGCATTCCCAGAGCAGAGGGGCAGGATGGGAAGAAGGATGGAGCAGGAAGGAGTGTGGGCTGGATGGGGCAGGCCTTAGGGTTGGGGGAAGAATTGGGATTTCATTTCAGTGTGGTGGGAAGCCAGGGAGGGTTTCAGGCAAGGAGGTTACGAAGCCTTATTCTGATTGTAAGACAACTACTCTGGTGCTGGGTGGAGAGTGGGCTAAAGTGGGATGGGTGTGTCCTTCAGGCCCCCACCACCTCCAGGGAGCCCACGGGTACCTCTGGTCTCAGCTTGTGATTCCTCCCAAGTCACGGGGGCTCTCTGCTACAGACTGATTTTCAACAAACTGGAGATGAGTCCGGGGCAGACCCCCTAGCCAGGGGTAGTCCCTCCACTGGCTCGGACTCCAGCCCTTGCCCTGGCCACCAGCAGGCAGAGAGGCCCCAAGGGGTCCAATGCCCAGCAGTGTGGCCCACATTGCTCTAGCCCCAGGCCCCTGATCCACAAGAGTGCTTAGCACAGTACCATCACCAGGGAAGGGCTAAGGGGCTTCGTATCCCGAGTCATCCAGAATCATCTAAATTCTGCAGAATGAGGACCCCCCCAGTGACTTGCTGACGTTGAGGAGTGAAGAACTCTGCTCACTGAAATGGTTTCAGCAAAGGAAGGAATCTCTCACCATGGGCCTCTGCCAGAAGACCATGGAGACAAGGCTGAGTCCCATGGAACAGATGAAAGTCTAGTTTCCTGAAAATGGTAGTCTGTGTCCCTCCAGCCTAATATGAGATCATCTCATTACCTCAGTAGAGATGACCCAACACTGCTCTGAAATTCCTCTTCACTGCCTCCATTTCCCCATAACCCAGTCCCCAATCCCCTGCTAGGTTCTGAAGTAGGGACTCCTACTCCTGGGACAAGGCTGCTCTTCTCAGGTGCCCTCCCCCATCCAATGGAGACCTTGCAGAAGGGAAGGAAGGAGGTGAGGGCCTAGGAGGGACAAGGCAAGGAAGTGTGACATCCATGTGTGCTTGATGGAGACCACTGGGGGTTGCAAGGAGGTTGGTTCGGTCCCTTCTCCCTGAAGGCGTTGCCATGCCCCGCCTCTTGCCCCTGGGGGTCCTCAGGGGATCCCCACCACCCAGCAGTGTGGGTGGGCTGAGGACGCCCAGCACACACGGGACACCTTCAGAAAAACATCTTGACACCGGGGACCTCAAAGAGATCAAAATGCATTTAATGTGGTCTAGTCTCATTGCCTACATCTTTAGATACTGCTATGTATTGAAAATAACATGAAAATTCTCCGGTTTCACCATTTAAAATAGATTTGACATTCTATGACCTCACGCAGGGCAGACACCCTTGTGCAGGGGCCTCCCAACGGTGGCTCCTTCCCACCCCCCCAGGATCCTCCAACGGGTGGGAACCGGGCGGCACAGCACCAGCAGAGGCTCGGGGGGCGGCCACCGTACTCTGAGCAGCGTGCACAGGCTGCACATGGACACATACCCCTGGGACCCGCACATACTGACACACACACATACATGTGTTCACATGGATGCACACACATGGACCCCTACACACAACCTAGGTGCACACGCTCACCTCTGGATGGCTCACTCTCAAACACAAGCTCCATTCACGCATAGACATGCATAATTAGGGCACAGGGTCAGGGACTGTGGGGTTCAACATGCTGGCGTCTGTGGCCAGTGTCCCATCTGACGAGTGAGTGCCCAGACTCGCAGCCTGGCGAGCATTCAAGCAGGCCCTGCATAGGAAACACGCACATAGACACATGGTGGGTAGACAGACACATAAACCATTTGCACACACACGTAAGTATCATGTATCTTTATGACCACCCCAGAACCACACACGTGGAGAGAGTCACGTGTACACATCTGCACCACACTCACGTGTGCATGCAGGCACACACCCCTCCCCCCATGCACGCACTCCCAAGGGGCCAAGTCTTCCTTGCTCCTGGCTCCTCCATCCGCCCTCCCGCTTCAAGTGCACTAAAGAGGGAGACTATTTTGGTCTTTAGCACAAGCAATAAATAAATAAATAAATAAATAAATAACTGGTGGGGTGGGGAGGAAAAGGAAGACAAAAGAGACTGAAGCACCTGCCTGCCTCTGGTGAGATAAAGGCTGCTGGGGCAGCTCTCCTGCAGGGGCTGGGGGTGGGGCTGGGTCATCCAGCTGGGCTTGGGAGACACCCGACCCCAAGATGGCCAGGGAGCTGGCCTGGAGGCTCTGGACTCTGATCTGAATGGGGGAGTAGAAGGCTGACCCATCTAGTGCCCGAAGAGCAGAGCACAGATCCCTACACCAGCACCAAGTGACCAGGCCATTCCTGTCCCTCTAGGGAGGAGCGGGTGAGAAACAAGCACTCCCATAACAACTCTACTCCCCCCCACCCCAGGGCTAAGGCTGAGAAAGTCCATCAAGGCTGGGGCCCGGAGCCAGGCCCAGGAGCTCTCCAGCAGACCCTGAGAAGAAAGGGCTGCCTTGGGCTGAGTCTTTTAGGCCAGAAATTAGGGTGGGGTTTGAGGTTGGATCCCCTGTCAGGAGTCAGGCCTGCCTCAGGGCATGGGGGCTGGGGGCTAACAGCCAAGTGTAGACTCTCCATGGCGCGGTCCTCAGGGCTAGGTCTCCAGCTACCCAGAGGAGGCAAAAGGCAGGAGCCCCTGATTCCCACCCACTCACTGCCTGACCTTGCCTATCCTCTTCTCTGCTCTCTGCCTCAGCGTCCCCAGTTGAATCAGAGAATTCTTGGTGCCTTCTGGTTCTGAGCTGTCTTGTGGGGGCATGATTGGAGACACAAGCTTTCTAATTGCCGTCCTCCCCAGGATCCCGACTCTGGGAGAACAGGTTTCCTCAGCAGCCCTGGGAAAGACTAGGCTCCAACCAGGTGGGCAGCAGAGCCAACAGCCAGGGATAACACAGGGGCCCCAAAGCTCTTCCTGACTAGGGGAAGAGGCCCTCTGCCAGGGGTGGGAGTTGTAGAAGAGGCCCCTGAAGCCTCAGCAAGAATTTGTTGTTCCGTGGCCAGCTTCTCAACTCAGCTTTGAAGGGTGCAACACGCCTGTCTTCTCAGTTGGTGAGAGGAGTGACAATCCTTCTCCTTTCCTGAGATCCTTCCTCTGCCATTCAGCAGCAGGCCAGGGCCTGGCTGGCCCCACCAGGGCTCCTTGCACTGCCCAGGTGAGGCAGGGCAGGGATGTGGGTCTATACCAAGTGGGCCTGGCCCCTGCCATCTTCTCAAGGCAGACAGAGGGCTGGCGGGGACTTCAGCAGTGGAGGCAGGGGCTGGGGAAGACGAGCGGGCCCAAGAAGAACAGAAACACCTGGAGCAGGACAACCTGGAGTCTCTAAGGCACAACTCACGCTTTGGGCCCAGTAGGGAGGGGGGCTGATCCACTTCCTCTTATCTGGGACCCCGACTTCCCTTCCGAAGGAGCTATCCACTCCGATTCCCAACAGCCCCTTGCTGTGGAAGGGGCGGAGGCCCCGAGCAGGAACGGAGAGAGAAGCAAAACAAGAGAATCGGGTGGGGAGAGTGAACCCTCGACAGCAGGTCCCATACCTGGCCCTGAGACGCACCTCTAAGGTACAAAGTCAAACTAAAAAAGCCCAAACCAGTTTCTTCCCGGCCTCCCCCCGACCCCGGTGACAGTAGAAAGCTTTTATTATGATTATTAACACGGTCTTGATTTTTCTATCGCAAACAGAACCTCACTGGCCCTGTGAGCATGATGAAGTGCACATCCTAGAGCACCGTGCCTGCCCTGGGGGAAAGGCCAGTCCCACCTTGGGAACCTTCTGGAGCCTCCAGCCAGCTGCTGCGTCCTGGCAGACCCATGGAATTCTAATTGTCCTTTTTGTCCCCCACGAATTAAAAAAATTTTTTAATCGCATGTTAATTTTTCTTTTTTTTTTTTTGTAAACAGTCTTATCCAAGCTAAGATTGAGAATGCTGAAACCCGGTGTTTCTCCCCAAGTTAAAAACCAGTGAGGAGCACCACAGCCTGCCAGCCTTGGACAGCAGAGGCTGGGCCCACCAGCGGGCCACTTCCCCTCAGGCTGCAGCTCTATCTTCAGGTAGAAGCCCCTGACCCCCATGGCCTGGCCCCCCCAGGAGGCCACCTCCCTGCCCTGAGCCTATATCGGCCTCTGAGGCCTCTGCGTCGGCCTCTGGTGCACACTCTGGCTACCTCACTCTCCTGCCAACCTTCTGAGGCCGTTGTGAAGAAACGTAAGACGACTAAAACACTACTGAGTCTGCAACCCAGGGCACCTGGCCCGCTCTGCTCAAGCCCAGGGCCCCCAAGGGACACCAGGGCCGCTCCCTGGTTGGTGGGGGGCGGATGCTGCACCTCGGCCAAGACTGGCTCAGATCTCCGACTCCCGTCTGTAGGGCCGCTGCTCCAGGGCCCCGCCCCCGGCCTGGAGTCTGTCAAAGTCATGCCTGGCCTGTGGGCTGAGGCCGTCCCGACTGTGGCCATCCTGGTCTCCATCCACCTCGTCCTCCTCATCTCGGCTCAGGAAGGCCAGCTCATTTTCATAGCAGAAGGAGCCAGCGCTGGGCAGCAGAAACTTGTTCTCAACCAGGTCCTTGGCGCTGCAGCGGGGCGTGGAGGGCACCTCGTAGGTCTTGTGGAAGTGCGAGTAATCGATCTTGTACTGGTTCTTCTCCTCGAAGAGCACAGGCTCGAAGCGGTGGCCCCACAGGATCTCATTGGCCAGGTAGGAGCTGCGGGCCTGGGTGGTCATGGCTGTGGCCTCCACCATGCCTTCCAGGATGACTACAATCTCGAAGTCGTCTGTCTCCAAGTCCTGCCGGCTGATGCCAAACAGCGGGCTGGCCTCGTCGATCTCATGCAGGATGGTGATGGGCGACACTAGGAAGATGCGGTCCAGCCCCTTGTCAAAGCCCACATCGATGTCGATCTGGTCCAGCGGGATGTACTCGCCCTCCTCCGTGACCCGGGGCTTGATGAGCTGCGCCCGCACGTGGGCCTCCACGATGTGGCTCTTACGCAGGTTGCCCACACGCCACATGAGGCAGAGCTTGCCGTCGCGCAGAGCCACCACAGCGTTGTGGCTGAACAGCAGCGTCTGCGCCCGCTTCTTGGGCCGCGCCATCTTGGCCATGATGGCACCGATCATGAAGGAGTCAATGATGCAGCCCACAATGGACTGGGCCACCACCATAAAGACGGCCACCGGGCACTCCTCCGTCACACAGCGCAGCCCGTAGCCGATGGTGGTCTGCGTCTCGATGGAGAACAGGAAGGCTGCCATGAAGCCATGGACTTGCATCACGCAGGGTGTGCGGCCTCGGCCCTCGGCCGGCTCCAGGTCACCATGCGCCACGGCGATGACCCAGAAGATGATGCCGAACAGCAGCCAGGAGGCGAGGAAGGCCAGCGAGAAGATGAGCAGCATGTAACGCCAGCGGATGTCCACACAGGTGGTAAACATGTCAGCCAGGTAGCGCTGTGACTTCTCGTCCATGTTGGCGAACTCGATGTTGCACTGACCGTTCTTTTTGACAAAGCGGTTGCGGCACCTGCGCCGTGTGTGCACCTTGCCGTTGCCGAAGCCGTTGGCACCCGACATGGTGACCAGATGCAGCCCGTCCTCCTCTGACGACACGATGCTATAGGGGTTGGCCCTGCTGGCTGCAGTCATCCCGGGGGTCGGGGGGCTCTGGCTTGCCCCCAGGCTGGCTCCAGGTGGGGTGGTTCCTGCAACAGAGAGAGGAAAGGGGTCTGGCTGGGCGGTGGTGCTGGCCCACTCCCTATCCCCACCCCAGGGCCCAGACATGACCAGCAGATGTTTCCACCCTGACCAACCCATGACCAAGTGCCTGGTCTTGCCTCCCACCCCAAGCCAGCTCCCCTTTGCCTTCTCAGTGAGGAGAATGGCCCCTGTGTCCTCCCAGTAGCTCCACCAAAACCCTTGGATTCATCTCTACGCCCCACATTCCCATACTTAGGACTGCTTCCGGAAGATATTTAGAATCCCACCCCTTCTCCCACCTCACGGGCCGAGTCCCTATCATTGCCTGCCTGGACCAGTATGGGGACCACCTTGCCAGGCTCCCTGCGTCCACCCCAGTCCCCCAGTGCTCATGGCCATCCCTCTTCTGCTCAATGCCAGAGTTCCCCCAGGACACACAGGACCTGCACGAGGCAGCCCGGTGACCCCTAGGACCTCACCCCCAGGCTCCCCTGGCTCGCTCCCCTGCCCTGCTGCAGCCCACATCCTCCAGCTGTCCCTCAAACCCGCCCTGGACTCCCCCTTCCAGACATCCTCCCACTGCCTTGCCACCCTCAGGCCTTGGCCCCAGAGGCCCATCTGTGCCCCAGGAAGACCACACACCCATCCCACCATGACTCTACAGTACATCAATAACAGTGAAAATGTAGCCTGATTACACTCACCCATTGTCCCCACCCTGAGACCACCACTCCCCAAGGGCAAGGAATTTACTATTTTGCTCCCTGCTGTCCCACCCTGAGGCCTAGAACAGGGACTGCCACACCCTACCGCCCCTCACTTTGGACACCCCAAGCTGAGTCACATCCACGCTCCTGATGCCCACATGTCACGCCCACAGCCTCCTCATCACCAGCGGTGGCAAGCAAGGGGCCTCAGAATCAGTACCCATACAGAGGTCACTTTCTGGCTGACCTCAGCCCAGAGGCCTTCTCTGTCCCTGCTTTCCTCATCTTTAAAGGGGACCACAGGGCTACTCCCCTGGCACCCGGGGAGCGCTCAGAGACATCACCTGTTCCCAGCACAATTCTGGACCCACCCGGGGGAGCACCTGGCTCCCAGCCAGCCTGCTGCACACATTCAAGCACACAGGGCCATCCCAGGGCAGGCCCCACAGGAGGACACCCACGCCAGCCAGAACAAAGCCTGCTCTCAGGCACAGGCTCACATCTATCCCTAGGACAGACAGGCAATAGCCACTCCTCCCCTATGGCCCCTTCAGGGCTCCACGCCAGCCTATTGGTGCCAGGCTGGGTCATCAGTGAGCTGGGAGCCCTGGCACAGCCTGGCCCTATGGCCACTGACTCCATCTGGATCTTAGCCTGCCCAGCTGGGCTGGGCGGAAGCAGGGAGATGGGGACATACCATCGTGGTCAGGGTGCTGAGAAGTTGGGTACATCCTGGGGACCCCTCACTCCCCTATCTTCACTCAGTCACACCATGAGGTCAGAGCTAGACAGAGCCTTGGGCCTGCAAGTGCTTGTAACCACTTTGCCCAGAAGACACTGAAGCCCCCAGTGAAGGTCTCAGGGTGGCTGGGTGCCCACTGCAGGCTGAGTGCTATGCAGAGCTGTCTGCAGACCTTGGGCCCTCCAGGGAGGGGTGGATCACCCTGCTTGACAGACAAAGACCTGGAGGCTCACAATCAGGAAGGGACTTGCTGAAGTCCCACAGAAGGAAGCAGCCATGCCAGATTCAACCCGGTCTGTGTGATCTGGCTTTCAGCTATGTCCACCCTAGCCAGGGCTTCTGACCTCTGCTCCAAACACCTGGGAAACAAGGCAAGAGTGAAGCCCGTATGACTGGCCAAACTGGTAGCATCCCAGGGTCTGTGTCAATTGTGGGTGCCACTGGAGCCCCTGGTCCTGGCGGGTTCGAAGCACTCATAGCAATTACCACCTGAGGTCCTGGGTTGGGGGGAGGCGGGGAGGGAGCACAGACATATCAGCAATGCTCTCAGGCCATCCTCTCAGCAACCCAAGGAGAAAGCTACTATCGTAATGTCTACTTTCTGAATGAGAGTCAGAGAGGTTAAGCAATTGCCCCCAAGTCACACAGCCATTAAGCAGGAGAGCTGAGACTCAAGCCACTTCTGTCTAAAGCAAGATCTCCCACCGTGGGCCTCCAGGCTCCACGGGGCCACCTTTCCTCACTCTTCTGGCCTCCCCCCGCAGCTGCTCCAGCTGACCACCTCACCATGGGTCTGAGAAGCTGAGGCCCGAGGCCGTAATGGTGGACGCTGCTTCTGCCTAGGCCAGGAGGCAGGGAGCCGGTGGTGGTGGGGGTCCCTAGGACTGTGCTGAGACGATGGCTCAGCCCCAGATTCCTGGGCCCTCCAGAGGGAGGTAGCCAGGACCGGGGCACTCAGACGCCGCCGGGAGGCCGCCGGATGCCAGGGGGCGGGTTTGTGTGGCCTGGGGGCCTTGAGGGACGTCCAGCGGGTCATGGCTGCTCCAGCCCGTGCTCCGAGCAGCTCGAGGCCTGCAGGGGACAGAATCGCAAGAATCAAAGGCCAGAGAGCCCAGCCTGCACACTGCTCCCGGCAGCTGGCAGCCTCACACCTGGCCAGCTACCAGGCAGGTGAGGGTGCTCAGCGGCTCCTGGCATCTCTGCCAGGGCTGAGTGCTGGGGACCCACCCAGATTGTATCACACAGGCCCAGAAACCACCACTTCTGTTGATGTTCCTCCTAAAACCATGCAGAGAAAATCAACAAGGTCAGGTTCACATGCTGCTCTCCCAATTCTCAGAGCCAGAAACCATCTCGGATTGAAGTCACCTGTCCAAAGTCCCCCAGAAACAGAGTAGCAGAGACAGAGTTAGAGCCCAGATCTCAGGCTTTAGCCTCCCACAGCCTCATTCTGCTGTGTGTGTGTGTGTGTGTGTGTGTGTGTGTGTGTGTGTGTGTGTGTGAGAGAGAGAGAGAGAGAGAGAGAGAGAGAGAGAGAGAGAAAGCCCAACCACTAGGGTGGTGGGGAGCCCCCTCACTAGACTGTCCCACCCCACTTGGTGAACACAGCACCACAAAGACTGACCCAAAAGAGGACATGGGAGTAAAAACCCCATCACCACAAACTCGACAAGTGTCCCAAGGACACTCTTGCACAAACATAGGCATGGCAAGAAGTTACACAACCGTGCGGTCTTTAAGGATGCAATTTAAGAAATATAGGACAACATCCTCAGCCAGGGACATGCAGGCCTGCTTGGCTCTTGCTCAATGGAGTGCATATGGTGGAATCAGGTAAGACACAGAATCAGAGAATTTGCTTTGCTGAAAGAGGCCTTAGCAAGCAAGGAGGCGGGCTGCCCATGTCACAGATGGGGGAACCAAGATGGAAAGAGAAAAAGACTTGTCCCAGGTCACAAAACAATTTGTGATGAGAGGCTCAAGGCTACAGCTAGGATGGTCCTCTGCAGATGCCCAGGTTGGCCAAGCGGGGGTCCCCAGGTTGCTGGAGGGGAATGGAACTGATGCTGGGGTATGATACCTGAGCTAGACCAGGCGATTTCAACACCAGAGAGGGGTTAAATGAATCTAGCAGGCAGAGAATGGGTAATGGAGAGCACAGACCCACCAGACTTCCAGGAGATGGCGAAGCCGGTCCCCAACCCTGCCGCCTTGCGTGCCTGCTTCTCTGCAGGCCACGGCGCCTGTAGACACTGCCACCTGATGACCAGTGTTCCTGGAGTCCCGGTCAGGGCCTGGCTGGGAGCTTTTAGAGAGGACACCAGAAGGCAGCTGCCACGTGACCTGAGGGTGGGACCCAAGAGTCACCGGGAGGTGCCTCCGGATGGAGCAGGATGCCCCATGCCCATCCCCTGAGGCTCTGGGCTCCTCAGATTTCAGTGACATCCGGGAGGAGACCAGGCAAGGCCTGGGTCCATATTCCCAGATGCCAGGAAAGCACTGACCGGAAGGGAGAGTGGAGAGACCCACACTGCCCAGATGAAGACACAGGGCCCCAGAGGGGGCGGTCCCAGGAGCAGCCCCTGACCAGACACCTCCCGAGGTCTGAACACAGTCATCAATACTCATCCAGCACTTCCTACCTGCCAGATTCTGTTCTAAGAGTATTAAAAATGAATCCATTTAATCCCAACAATAATACAGTAGCTATTATCTCTATTTTCCTGATGAGTAAATGGAAGCTCAGAAAGATGGAATCACCTGCTGAGGGCTACACAGCCTGTAAGAAATGGAGTTTCCAGGTTGGGGTATGGGGGCGAGACCAGTGACCTGTCACCCAGGTCCCAAACCTGACTGTAGCATGAGACTGTGTTCTTCCCAATCCTCAAGCCCCTGTAATCTCACTTGACACTGAGATGTACAAATTGCCCAGAATCGGCACTCCAAAGCACAGGTGTAAGGGCCCTCACCAGCACCCCTGACCCACGGCCATTCACGCAGCTTACATGCCAGGTTGGGGCACTCACTGGTCACAATCATGCCATACCATCAGAAGGCTCGTTAGAGATCACTCGGTGCAGGGGAGGCCAGCGTGTGGCCAGTGTGGCCTCCACCAGCCTGCAACCATGGCAGACACCACTCGTCAACTGCAGAACTTTCTTCCATTGCACCCAGGACAGCTCAGAATCTTTCCTAATCCAGGCACCATCCATCAGGCTCAGTGTGATACCAACCCTTCCTTTGCAGATAGGGAGACTGAGGCTCCAAGACAACTCCCTCGTTCAGCCACACAGGAAGTGAGAGGCAGACCCAGCCTGCAGGGCGCAGGGTTCTCTCTCACAGCAGGTTCTGCCCAGAATGTGGGCCCTCAGCGAGGCTGGGCTGGCATCTGGGACATGAGGAGGGGCCGCTTTGGGGGGGGGTGCAGAACGAGAACCAGGAGCTGGAAGCAAGAATGTGCAGGACACCCTAGAGGCAGCAAGAGAGCTGTGCTGACCAGGAGTCAGGCAATGGTGTGGAGGGAGACTTCAGGGGGGCAGCATGCCTGCTTCTCACAGTCTGAGGAGAAGTTGGTGATCTCTCGTGCACAATCCCCTTTCTAGGCCAAATTCCCCCAGCTGGAGGCTCAGCAGTCCTCCGCCTTCCATGTCACTTATAGCCTGCAAACGTTAGAGATCAATGCCATGCAGGCATTCTGTGCCAAGCCCAGGCCAGGTCCGAGGAGAGAAGCAGCAGCAAACACATCGGTGGGGGCGGGGGGAGATGGGGTGGTCAGTGTTAATTCATATCCTGCGCCCTCACCACCTCAGGTCCAATTGTCCCAGTTTCTTCAGCCAATGAGAATGTCTTTCTGCCCCAAAGTTCTCTCTGGCCATGAGCTTACTCTGCATGCAGGGGGTGGCCTGGGAGCCAGCACCGCCAGGGACAGTCTTCAGTCAGTAACTGACACGCGCAGGTGACAAGCACCCAGCAAGCTGCCCCTTGCATGGGATGACTTTAAGGCCAGACTCTGTGCCTTCTCTCTGGCTTCCCCAGCTGGCTCGAGCTCCAATTGCCCCAGCTGTAACTCTATCAATCACATGCACTTTATTGGTTCCTTCTCATCCCTGATTCACTTCCTTACTTCCTGGGCTCATCTCCCACTAAACCATTTGCTCTGGGCACTTTGTCCCCTGGCCCTCCTGGTGGGGGAATTTGGCCTAGAAATTGGCATCCCCACAGCAAAGACTCCTGGCTCCTAAATCCCAGCCTCCTTTCCTGGACACCCCACACCATACCCGCCCCCCACACTCTCCTCCCCATCGTCCTCCTCCATGAAACCCTTTAGGATTCTCTAGCCCTGAACTTTTTCTGTTAGAACCAGAAGCTACTTTCTACCTTGTATGGGAGTTGATCTTGTCCAGACCAACCTCAGTGACCCTGAGAGGCTAGGGCAGGCCTTGGCAAAGAGGGGGCACCCAGGAAATGTTCCCTGACCTGATGAAAGGATGAAGGATTATGCAGCTTAATAACAGAATGGATGAGGAGATGGATGGAACAGTGAATGAGTCGGCAGATATATGTACAGATGGGTGGTCCAGCAGAAGGATGGATAAATCGGGCTGACTGATGGATGAGTAGATGGACAGGGGGAAACCAGACAGAGGAACAGTATAGGCGGGTAGAGGGTGGCTGGATGGATGGTTGAGCAGATAAATGGGTGGGGGGGTAAGGAACGGACGGAAGGTGGTTGGATGGGTGGACAGGTGGATGGGTGGATAGGTGAGTGGATAGGCGGGTAGATGGATAGATGGGTGGGTGGATGAGTGGATGTGTAAATGAGTGTTTGATGGAATGGGTGACTAGATGCACAAGTGTACACCAGTGACTTTCATCTTACCTCTTGAATTCGATCTTCTAAGTAATGGTGTTGAGTGGGCAAGTGACTGTCTTCAAGGCTGAATTAGCAGTGGCAGCCATTTCCCAGGCACCAGCAAGAGAGGATCCAGTCACTAGAACATCCTAAAGTTAACAGAGCAAAGCCAAGTTACTGTAGATGGTGCCGCTCTTCTTAGATGGGGCTCAAAAGCAAGACACTTCCATGCGAGCCCACTTTGTTGCTCACCTTCCTGAGGGCTCCACAGGAGGTGGAGGGATCTCTAGGAGCCCTCTGATACCCCACAATGTTGCGGCATACAAGCCCTGTCCATAACAACCACCCAGAACCAGAGAAAGGCAGAACAAGATGGGTCTTCAGAGAAAGGAACAGCTAACAATTGTTGAGTATCTCTTGCATGCCAGACACTACAGAAGTTTTACGGGAGTCATCCACCCACCCATCTACTCTCACATACATACATACATCTTGTAGATGAATGGATGGATGGATGGATGGATGGAGGGAGGGAGGGATGGAGGGATGGAGGGATGGAGGGATGGATGGATGTGAAAGTAGATGGGTGAGTTGGTGGGTAGATGGATAGATGGATGGATAGAAGATGGATGGATGGATGTGAGGGTAGATGGGTGGATGGATGGATTAAGGGATATATGTAAGAATGTGAGGGTAGATGGGTGGGTGGATGGATGGATTATACGGATGGATGGATGGATGGATGGATAGATGGATGGATAGGAGGGTAGATGGATAGATGGATGTATTAAGGGATGGAGAGATGGATGGATAGATGATGTGAGGGTGGATGGGTAGATAGATGGATTCAGGGATATATGTATGTATGTGAGAGTAGATGAGTGGGTGGATGGATGGATTATATGGGTGGATGGATGGATGGATGGATGGATGGATGGATGGATGGATGGATGGATGGATGGATAGATGGATGGGTGGATGGGTGATGAAATGGGTAGATGGATGGATAGGGTATTTGGGCGAGTGGGAGAGATAACTGGATGGATGAGTGGGTGGGCATATGGAAACTATATGTATGGGTTCACCTCAGTAATTTGCCAGAGACTTGCCTTGGGCACACACACATCTTACATGATTCTTGCAATCCCTAAGACTCAATTTTACCATCTGTCAAAGGGGCTCCCTGTCTTCCTCTCCAGCACGCAGTGAGGATCAGGAGAGAGGATGGTGGGAATGGGGAGAGGATGGTGGGAGGGGAAGAAGACGGTGGGAAAGGGGAGAGGATGGTGGGAAGGGGCTCTGAGGATTTCTGAACTACTTTGAAATGTGTCTCACCTCCCGCCTCTCAGCTGCGGGGCTCACAGGGCCCGCCCTTTCCAAGGTTATAGCCAAGGTTGGTTTGTCACACTGGCTTTTCTGGCTGGGATTAAGGAAACTGTTGGTGAGTCACTCCCACATCATACGCCTCCTGGGGCAGGCGACAGCGGTTTAGAGGCACAGAGACCTTGATTCAAATCCCAGCTCTGCCCCTCACAAGCTGTGTGACCTTGGGTGTGTCACTTCCCCCTCTCTGAGCTGACTCTAAGCTGGTGACCTGCCTGGTGGCCCTTCAGTCTCGCTTCACCCTCCAAGCCTCCTGATCCCAGGTCCCTGCTTCCCTATCCCTCTTTGTTCCCGGAGCAGCAGCCATGGGCCTGCACTTGCCTCTCTCAGTCCTTTCACTCTCAGAACTGTGGGGGCACAAGGCTCATAACTGTGGGGGAGGCCCCATCACAAGCCAACATTGCACAGCTGGGACCCTCCACAGCAGGGCCCTGAGATCGTACCCCTCCCAAGTGGGCCCACATTGTGCCTGGCCCTGCCTGCTCAGCAGCTGGCTTCAGTCATCCTGACACTCACAGCCCTGCCTTGGAGGAGAGACGGTTCACCCTACTGAGCAGATGGGGAAACTGAGGCTGAGAGAGGCTAAGTCCTTTGCCCTGGTCACTTAGAGCTCTGAGCAGTGGAGATGGGATGTTGTCACAGGGCCATGGGGAGCCCCAAAGGGGCAGGGTGGGAGGGGCAGACAGCAGCCCCAACCCCCTTCTGCCGATCACCTAACCTGCTCCAGGCTCTCCCAACCTTGTTCCTCACCCCCTATTTCCTGGAAGGGGCTTTCCCCAGACGCGCAAGTTCAGCTGGATTTGTTCTCATCTATGAGGGAAACAAAACTAGCTCCACTCTACATGGAAGGGAAACTGAGACACGGAAAAGTAAAGCCACTTGCTCAAGGTCACAGGGCAGGTGGTGGCTGGCTGGAAACTGTAGCTAGGTCTCTGGATGTCCTGTTCAGGCTCCCCTGCCACCTGCAGGGGCCACAGCAACCTACCACATGCACTCACCCCTCCAAGTCCACCAAATGTTCCCTGGGTCGTGGTCACTATGCTGGACAGGGAGGAAGGGTGTGGGGGCAGTGCTTCCATGTGACGGGCTGGCCCAGAGCCACCAGCACAGGAGGGCAGAGTCTGGGCCAGCACCAAGGCTGGGCCTGAAACCACCCACGGGACAGGGCAAGGCGCTTCCCTTTCCTGTGGCTCAGCTTCCTCCTCTGAAAAACAAGGCTGGTGATGCCTGCCTGGCCTCCCAGAGGACATGCCATAACACTGAAGGTGGTGACAAAGGTGCAGGCTGGGCACAGGGCCAGGCACCAGTGGGGCTCTGGGAGGTGGCAGCTGTCATCCTCCCTGGAGGGTCTGGCTGCCTTCCAACCCACTGGGGCCCTTCCCAGGGCCTCAGACTGCAAAGTGAAGTGGGGTGGAGTGCCCCAGCTATTTGCCCTGCCTCTGCCCTACCTGTGACCCCACTCCTCAGGGGACCATCAGGAGGGGACACTGAGCCCTGTCTCCCATGTCTGGCCTTCAGAGACCACCCAGCAGGGCAGGTCCTCCCAGCATTCTCTGTGAGAGACTGTCAGGCTTTGACACCCACATGGGCAGCCGAGAGCAGAAACAGGCTCCCCGACACAACAGAAAGCTGGCTGCCCAAACCTCCGTGGGTGGCCTCTGCATATCCTCAGAGGCTACCCCAGTGGACAACTAACCACAGGAAGCGCGAATCCTCCCCCTGGCGCAAGAGCTCCCTTTCTGCCCCGTGCCCGGGATGTGCACAGTCCACAAAGGGTGCTCAGAACCTTGAGGGACCTCGACCCTTCACATTCCATGGCCTGGATATGGAGATGGACACATCAACCCCAGGGACTGGCTGCACCAAGCGACCCGAGGAGTGGACATCCACACTGTGAGCCCCAAGGTGAGGCCGGGTCAGGAGGTTCCGGCTTCCCCAGAGCGGACAACAGCCACACCAAACACCAAGGATGTTTCTGATGGTATTTTTATCTTGAGAACATCCTTTGCAGAGGGAGGGGGGAGAAGGGAGACAGGGTGTCCTTGGCCCCAGGCCCCTGGGAGCAGCAGAGAGCAGAGGCCCCTTGGCGCCCTCTACTGGAGAGACCGTTGCAGACACTGCCCCTTCCCTGGGCTTCATTGAGTCCCAGGACCAGGGAGGACCTGGAGGGTGCTGAGGATTGCATGGGGTTCCTGGTTCTGCTCCAACTTGCTGGGTGACTGGGGCCTCCCTCTTGCAGTCCTCCCTGAGTGCCCACCCGATGTCAGGCTCTGCACTGGGCACCAAGTACTTGAGTAGGAACCCACGGGAGCCTGCCTTTATGGGGCACTCTGCCTTACAGGACAGTGAAAAGTCAGCCGTCACACCACACTGGACCAGAGCTACCAGAGCCCTCAGGAGCCCAGGGGAGGTGTCTAACCCGGCTGGGGGCAGGGGGCTTCCTGGAGGAGTATCTGGGGGCCTGAGAGGAAGCAGCGAGCAGGAGCAGAGAGAGTCCCTCTGAGACAGAATGCAGTATTGCTGAGGAGTCAGAACAGCTTGGGATCACCCCGGAGTGTCGTGAAGGGCACACAGAGTCTCACAGATCTGGGTACAGATTCCAGCTCTGCTCTTCCGGCACTGGGCCTCGGGCAAGTTTCTCCCAGCCTCTAAACTTCCCTGTCCCTGTCTGAAAACCAGGGGGCTGGTCCAGCTGGTTCACAGACTTTCTAGGATCCCAAGGGATTGGGGGTTTATGGGAAAGGTGTAGACAAACAGATGGGACATACCCTTGTCACCCCAATTATAGGGAAAGCTGTGGTGTACTGAGTGCCTAATGTGTGCAGGTGATGGGGCCAAGGCATTACATTGGCAGATGAAGAAACCGAGACTCTAGGAGGTCTCAGATGTCATATTAACGAGCTTGGAGTTGGTCCCAGGACAATGGGGATCTCAAGGGCCATAGGAGAGTTTGAAAGTATAAGAGTTCTGGGGCAATGTGGCCTGGATGTCTGGATTGAGCTTGTCTCTGTTCCTTTGTGTCACATATCTCTCTGATCCCCAGTTTTCTCACCTGTAGAATGGAACTGACCACAGGACCTATCTCACAGCCTTGTGAGGTTTCAAAGGCAACTGCCCAGCTGGAAACTCGCAGCCCCCCATCACAGCTCTCACTCTGGAGAGAGCCACAAGTCCTTTATTATTATTATTTTATTTTTTTATTTTTTGAGTTGGAGTCTCACTCTGTCACCCAGACTGGAGTGCAGCGGCCACTCCCAGCCACCGCAGCCTCGACCTGCTGGGCTCCAGCGATCCTTCCGCCTCAGCCTTCCTAGTAGCCGGAATTACAGGCATGCGCTACCATGCCCAGCTGATTTTTGATTTACTGTAGAGATGAGGTCTCGCCAAGTTGCCCGGGCGGGTCTCAAACCCGCGGGCTCAGGCAATCCACTCACCTCAGCCGCCCAAAGCACGGGATTATAGGCTGAGCCACCGAGCCTGGCCACAGGCCCTTTTTTAAAACTTTTTTAATTTTTTTGAGTTGGAGTCTCACTCTGTCGCCCAGGTTGGAGTGCAGAGGCACACTCATGGCCACCCCAGTGTCGATCTACTGGTTCCAGCAATCCTTCCACATCAGCCTTCCGACTAGTCGGAACTACAGGCGTGCACTACCATGCCCAGCTAATTCTTGATTTATTGTAGAGATGAGATCTTGCCAAGTTGCCCAGGCTGGTCTCAACCCCGTGGGCTCAGGCAATAAACTCACCTCAACTTCCCAAAGTGCTGG